TCCAAATAGTTGTCCGTAAACAGTTGCTCAAGATGGTTGTGCTCATCACCGCCTCCTTTGTATCAAAAACAAATTCCTGTAAAGACCAGACAGCAGACCTCCAGAGATGCATGTGTTAGAGCAATGAGAAACGTTAATTTGCTGGAGAATGCTAGTCATTCCAGGGGCTTCCTTTTTACCTTCCAAAGCAGGGCAGTGCTATGTAAGTACCATTAGCTCACAGCTCCAGCCTTCCAGTGATGCCACTATCGGCCCTTTGATAAAGAGCAGAGTGGCAGGCCAGGCCCAACAGAGTGATAGGAGGGCTGCTGTAGTGATGGGGAGGATGGAGGTGGCAAGTGGGATGACCATGGAGATTGGGAGGACTGATGAAGCAAGTGGGAAGATGGATGGAACCGCAGAAAGGGTTGCTGTGGTCACAGAGAGGAGTGATGTAATGGCGGCATGGACTAGGAAGATTGGTGGAGTTTGGGGGAGGACTGCTGTGGTAATGGGGAGGACTGCTGTGGTGAGAAAGAGGTTTGCTGCTATGACTGAGAGGATCAGGGAGGAACACTGTAGTTTGTGTGAAGGAATATCCTACTCTTTTGCCCAGTCCTAGTCCTTGAGCTTTTGTCCCTTCTCTTTGGCTCTCCCTTTTCTGTAATCAGTGTCTAACTAACTCATCATTGTCCTGGCCTCTGAGCCAATGCCCTGTTCTCACAGTGGTTGACTCTCACAGCAGCCCCTCCATGCTACACAGTCTTTAACCTGCTTTGATTTTCTTTAAGAAGCCTTTAGTTTCCCTGGTTTCCCTGCCTATGCTTTCATTGGCCTCGTGACTGCCAGAGAAACTTGCAGCCCAACTGCCCAGGCACACAGTAGAGGCTCTGTAAATATTTAGTGCATGAATTAGGTCTGAGCTTGGACTGTGAGGGTGGCCAAGACACTGAGGGTTGCAAACAGTGCTAGCCAAGAAAGGCTCATTGTGCCTAACCTTAAAAATTTACCTCATCACTCTGACACTTTGCCCTCAATGGCATCGGCGATTGCCCTCATAGCAAGACTGATCCTGGTATAACCAGACAGTGACTTCAGAGAGCCAAGCCTTCAGACTGCAGAGCCAATGACATTATCATGTGCCCTTCCTAATGGATTCTGCCAAGTGCTTTAGCACAGTTCACTGGTCTATTTTTAGGTAACACGAGTGGTAACCTAGCCAGTAAAAGCAGCCATCACCTTGTAAATGCAGGGTTAGCAGGCACTTGCTGGTATGAACTTGTCAACATAAATGCAAAAGAGCGCTTTTCCTGGAGATCATTACAAATAGCGAGAAGAAAATGTTTTCTGAGTAAGGAGATGGGTTCAGCCGCAGAATCGTGTTCCTTTCTTATATCCCACATTAAAACTTGTGTAAGGTCCCTTTGTAAGATCAAGGACCATTGGAACATGAAGATACATGCCAAGATCACCTCGGTCCTGGAGGATTCCGTACTTTGCCCTTCAGCTTCAGTGCCAGACTGAGACTGGCTGGGTAAATAATTCCTTCTGGCCCCTAGGCTGAGCCAACACCACCAGAACAGTGCCTCTGCCCCCATGGAAATACTGCATTCCTTAGCCTGCATGCACAAAAAATCCCCTGAGTTATGCTGTGGAATAGAATAGTTGTTTAACTATGTAAAGATGTGTTGCTTCTGTTGATGCTGCATTTGTTTAACTGTGTAAAGGTGTGTTGCATTTGTTCATCTTGCCTGCCTAAGGCACCTGACTGGTCTAATAAAAAGCTGAATGGCCAATAGCTAGGCAGAGGAGGGGTAGGTGGAGTTGGTGGGCAGAGAGAAAAGGAGGAGACAGATGGGGCCCAGATACCCAGACAGGGAAGAAGCAGGAAAGCATTGTAGACAGTTCATAGATGAGTTAAATGAACCTCAGGGCAGCACAGAGATGAATAGAAATGGGTTAATTTAAGTTAAAAAAAAACTAGTTAGAAACAAGCCTAAATAAACTAAGGCTGAGCATTCAAAAATATTAAGTCTCTGTGTCGTGATTTGGGGCTGGCAGTCCAAGAAAGCCTGCCACAGAGTTACTCTCTAGAAGTGAGCCTTCTTGACCAACTCATGAAATCCAGGACTAGAAGCCTGGGCTCATGAGTACAAATAGCCTGGTTTCTCTACCTCAGAGGGCTCCTCGGAGCTCCTCTCCCGCTGGTTGGAAGGTTCAAGACCCATTCTTCTTCATAATCTCAAGGCTTTCTTGCCTTTCTCTTGATCGCTGAAGTTTATGTCACATAATATTTCTGTCCAATAAGTATAAGTACCCTCCTGTGGGCCAACAAATACCAAGAAATTTTCATTTGTCTTCAGAGTTGGCCAAAACGCACACCTGTGAACTGGATCTGTGGGTCCAAGAGAGGATTCTGGGGGAAATTCATCCCACCTCTCTCCCCAGTAGAATGAATGCTGGGTTTGCAGAGGATGGGAAAAAGCTCAAAGTGAGCAGATGCAATAGTGAGGAAGACACAGAGAGGCAGCATGGAGAACTGAAGCCAAGCTCACAGAGGGTCAAGTGATAACTCCCTGCAGACCCACGTTAGGTTCCTTTCTCCATGAGTGGGTAGTGTCCCAAGTGTATCCCAGGGGTCCAACAGCAGAGCCAGCAGCCTGAAGTCCCAGATGTTCCCTTCTAGACCGCACAGACAGACCCACCATAGATGGCATTGCCTATCCCACTTGCATCAGAGCAGGGCCATGTCCTGGGTATTGGTGTCTTGGGTACCGTCCCCGCGCCAATGCAGTTCAGAGACAGGTGTGACTCTTTCCCGCCCTCTCTTGTCCCTCCTACCAGCTAGAGGTAAAATGTCTGCAACCCTGAGAAACCATGGAAGACAGAAAAAAACTCAAAAACCAAAAAATCCTTGTTTTCTAGTTTCCATACAGGGAGAGACACTTGCCGAGAAGAGCTCCTGCACAGGGTTACCGTGTGGAAGAGAAATAGGTTTTTGTTTAATATTTTTCTCAAGACAGGGCTTCTCTGTGTAACAGTCCTGATTGTCCTAGAACTTGCTTTGTAGACAAAGACCCGCCTGCCTCTGCCTCCCAAGTGCTGGGATTAAAGATGTGAGCCACTAATGCCCGGATAAGAAATAATTTTTGTTACGTTAAATTAACATCAGTGGCTCTAAAACTTGGTGGTTAAATGGTCACCACACCTAACATCATCCTAACGCAACCAAGTAGGTACACTGCTTATTGATTTATTTTGGTAGGCGTTCCCTAGATGTCTCAACACTGAGAAGTGCATTTATTAAATAAACACTGGTGGTGGAGGCATATATGTACATATCTGTATGTATACACATGTTCTCATGCCATGTGGCAGCCAGAGGATGATATTTGGGTGTTTTCCTCACTCATTCTCCACCTTAGTTTTTGAAACAAGGTCCTCTCACTGAACCTAGGTATTGCCCTGTCTCTGTTACCAGCACTGGGATTATAGATGTGTACTGCTACACTGAGCTTTTTAATAGTCCTAGGATATCAATTCAGGTTCTCATGCTTACACAGAAAGCACGTTACACAGAGAGGTATCTCACCAACACCAACCCCTCATAAGCATTTGTTAAATGAGAATAGTCCATTTTGTGAGGAGGACTCAAGTCCCAGGAAACAAAAGTTCACAGAAATTCACCACACACACACACACACACACACACACACACACACACACACACACACACACCACATGCACACACACCCTTAAGTTCCTGCACCAAAACCACATAGGGTCAATTAGCCAAGCCTGCTCTGGCTAGTTGTGGTTCATAGGACAGCAGTGACTACTCTCAGAACAATCTTCAAGGCTCTGCTGCCTGCTACCCATCATGGGTATCCTACACAGCCAAACACCAAAAAAGAAAATTGGAGTAGGAAAGGAAAAGTCATCAAGAAAAATAGTCCAGATTTCTCATGATCTCACCCATGAGTCAGATTGGCGTTTGGGATAACAACTAACCGAGCCGACCAGAACAGTTTGTCTGCAAGATGCCAGCCTGCCAGTTTCAACAGCAGAGAAGGCACTCTTTTTAAATTGGCTTAAAAGGACAAATCTAGAGCACTTGTTTATTTTTTCCCCCTCCTAAAAAAATTCCAAGGTGAATGAATCTCTTGTTTAAAAATAGCCCTCTTGGAAATGAAACTATAACTTTCTTTTAGACGCCAAGTGCCAAGTATCTTTGGGGCAGTGAGGAAACATCTTGCAGGGATCTTTGCTGTGTGGCCCTTTGAAAGCTGCCTCACCTTTCTGGATGTGTTCACTTATAAAATGTAAAATTAGAGAGATGATCTCTAAGGTCTGAGGAGGAGGAGAGCTTTATTTAGTGGAAAGGAACTGGATTTTTTTTTCACCTTGTAAATCTTTTACTATGCACAGGAATTATTCTGAACACAAATGTGGTATTTTCATGAGAAGCTTAGTTGAGAGGAATTTATTCATCCAGGGCCAGTGAAGTCTAAGCCACTACCCATGTGACTGGGTCTTTAGTCACGAGACAGGAAGAAGTGGACATTCTGGATGGTCAGTGCTGAGGTCTGAATGCCTGTGGTTCTCCCCTAAGTTCTTCTGGGGAACCCAGCCCCCTGGTGCTGACAGGAGTGGGCCTTTTTGGAGGTGACTGGGTTCTAACAGCTGAACATTCACAACAATCACAGATCTGCTCTCAAAGACCCAAGGAGCAGCTCAACCCTTTGTATCTTCCAAGGACAAGTAAAAGAGCACCTCCATCCATGAACCAGCATGACCATCCCCGTCTCAAGGCAACTTGATTTGAATGTCTCAGGCACCAGAACAGAAAGAAATATATTTTTGTGTTGTTTCCAAGCCACATCATGCATAGCATTTTTACAGAGAAGCAAGAAGGATTAAGGTGGGTGGTGTGATTATAGCAAAACAAGACAAAACAAAAACAACTCGGTGTTAGTATGTTTTCTTTAGTTGTTGTTTGACACACGGTGGCTCAGACTCACCCCAAACTCCTTGTGTAACCGAAGCAGCTCTTGAGTGTCTAATCCCTCTGCCTCCTCTTAAGTGCTGAGATGACAGGCATGGACCACCACATTGGCTTATTTTGGTTTTGTTGTTGTTTGGACACAGGGTCTCACTATGTAGCCCAGCCAGGTCTTGAACTCCTGCCTGAGCCTCTCACCACGCTGGAATTACAGTTATGTGTTATGACACCAATCCTGGAACAGACATTTTCTTTTCTTATTTTAGTTCTGCAACACGTGCTCATGTAATCCAGGCTGGCTTCAAACTTACTTTGTAGTCAAAGATATTCTGAACTCCTGGTTCTCCTCATGCCTAAATGTGCTGCCACGCCCAGCTGTTGTATTTTTTTTTTTTGAGAAAAGAGTCTTTGGGAATTACTAATGATCATAGCTTCCCTCTGAGAGTGAGGAAAGTATGGCCTTACTGAGAGAGAGAGAGAGAGAGAGAGAGAGAGAGAGAGAGAGAGAGAGAGAGAGAGAGAGAGAGAGAGAGAGAGAAACAGACAGACAGAGACAGAGAGAGACAGAGACAGAGAGAAAGGGAGGGAGGGAAGGAGAAAGGGAGGAAGAGAGGGAGAAGGAGGGAGAGACAGGGAGGAAGAAAGGAAGAGAGAGAGGGAGAAGGAGGGAAGAAGAAAGGGAGAGAGAGAGGGAGGGAGGGAGAGAGAGAGAGAGAGAGAGAGAGAAACAGAGACAGAGAGAGAGGGAGGGAAGGAGAGAAAGAGAGAGAGCAGAGCTTTTGCTGATCCACTCCAGATTTGTCTGTTCCCACCCTATTCCTCCACCAGCCCCTCTGCCCACCGCCCCCACACTCCACTTGACACTTTTCACCTGGGCTTCTGAGACATGGAAGGCTGGAGGAGCCGGTTATTTCTGTCTATCTGTAGGGTAAGGAATTATTGCGAACTTTAATTACTTGGGCCGCAGTAGTCCCTCAGGCCCACAGGCGGAGCGAGCTCTTGGTATACTGCAACAATGACGTTAGGATCAGATGAAGGAAGGAGAAAGCCATTGCATACTCAGAGTCTGGGAAAGAATGAGTCCTGCTTGAGCTCTGAGACAGCCACTAATGAGTGCTGTCAAAACAGCTGCTCACAGCTGACCCCCGAGTCCAACCTTGACAGCCTCGGGGCTCACATCCAGACTCAACTGTCCCCCTTGGCCTTTCTCCTGGTTACTGTCCTATGCTGTCTCCAAGGTTGCTGCTTATATGTTGATTAAATTGGGCTTCTGTGCCCTACCAGTACAGTGTCTGGCAATAAATGTCTAGAGGAAAAAAATTAAAAGGAGGCAAATATTTGCATGTATATACATATGCATGCATATACATGTGTAATATATATATATATATATATATAGTCTTCTTTCTATGCTTGAAGTCTTCCCCATATACACTGTCATTTTCCTTCTTTTTTTTGTCAGCTTATAAAGGATGACTGAAGTTGAACCTCATCAAAAACACCACAAATTTTAGCCACAGCCAGGATCCTCTGAGACTAGGACCTGGATTTAATTAAAACTCTTTCTAAGCAAAGCAAAGAGTTAACCAACCCTTGCTCACGCGTTTCTCCAATGCCTCTGGAAAATGGATGTGGTGGCCTCTAAAGAAAACTGCCCTGAGTGTTGTAGAAACGGAGGAAGGGTAGCATGCAGTAAGCACAGGGACCTCTTTAAGGAGAGCCTGGGCTCCAAACTTACGCTTCAAATCACAGAATTGCTTCTATTATCTTCAATGGTTTAACAGTACCAACGAGGAAACACAACTGGCTACATTCAGTTGAACAGAAGTTTGTCTCTACTACCAAATGGAGGACAGTGGCATCCTAAGAGAAGTGGGCCTTGGCAATAGCAGGTGTCCTATGGAAGTCTATCCGCTCGACTGGACCACCTTAGGAAAAGTACTTGCCAAGGAGTCTAGCAATCTGTTAGGTAAAGTGGTACAGACAGAGTAGACAGAGGGGGCCATTCAGTTCTGGTGTCAGTTGCAAGTTAGAAGAGCCACTAGATGTACAAAGTCTAATCTTGGGTCATCGGTCTTCCAGTCCCTACTGATTGATAGCTTCTGGAAAAGGCAGCTGACAAGCTCTCCATATCTTTTTGGAAAACAGAATAGGGAGGAGAAAATTCCCAACAGGGAACTGCTTCTCTAGACGTTAACCACAATGCTTTGACCCTTGTTCTGTCTTTTAAAACAAAAAGAAGTCTTATACAATAAAGTCATTGGAATACTTTATTTAGTTGGTCATACAATGGATTATTGCTTCAAACTAGTCAAGTCAAACTACAGAGACTAATAAAGAGATGAGGGATGAGTCTAGATTCCTCATTTAAAGAGGTGCCATGTGATCAGGGTGTTGGCCAACTTAGGGGACAGAGGAAGAAGAGCAGGTTTTTAGGTGGAATGTGGTAAATGTAGCTTGGGACATGTGGCTTTAGAGGAGCCAGGTTTGCCCAGATAGAGATAACATGGAGGTCAGAGGTCAGGAGACTGCACAGATGTAGAAGTGATCAATTGGTCCATAGATAGTCGATAAAGTTTGAGGATGGGCCTCAGATTGCTGGCGTTGTAGGGGGACGGCAGAGTGTGCACGTGTGCTCGTGCGCGCGCACACACACACACACACACACACACACACACACAATATGGCTATAAAGCAGGGCCCAAAATCCAATCAAAACAAGTAAAGGAGGCATATGCCTGTAATCTCAGAACTCAGGAGGTTGAGGCAGGAGGATCATGAGTCGAGGCTAGCTTGGACTACATAATGAGACCCCATCTCCAAAAGCACTGGGGCACTAAAGGTTGTTGCAAGAGTTCTCCGGCAGAAGATGAAGGAGGCAGAAGGAGGGCCCAAAGAAAGTGGCTTCAGAGAGTCCCAGATAATGGAGACTCATACCTGATGGTGGTGTGAAAACCCCTGGTGGATTAGGTTTTGGTCCCCACAGGTCACACAGCAGAGGCATTTCACTAGAGTGTACACTGGAAATCAGACCTCAGAGCATACTGAGGAGTTAATGAGAGATTCGGGGAGTGGGAACAGCCAAGAGGGACCAATTTTTCAAGTGATTTGGTGATTACGGCTAAAGGGCAAAGCAGTCTTAATTAAAGAGTGGTGAGGAAACTCCCAAAGACACAGAAAGGCTAAGGACAGTCTCCTGTCGGGTGTGATCCTGAGTAAAGCCAGAGGAAACAGTCCCCAGAGCCATATACCATCAGGTGACAGGAGATGGGAAGGAAAGCATGCGGGCTAGGTGTGGAAATGGGTAGTCTGTAATGAGAGGGAACATGGTGGGGGGATTTCTACTGCTTCCCTCTCTGAACACCAACTAAGGTTCTTTCCTAAGAGGGAAGGAGAAGGCAGTGGTAGGAGCTGAAGGGGAGGGCAAGAGTTCGGGTAGATGCTGGGATGGTAACTGGTGTGGTCCAGGGCCAGACTGTCCGGTTACAGCATTTACTCGACAGCAGTAACACCACTGCAAGTCGCTCAGTGGATCTGGCTATAGCTAGGATTTTTGTGTCTGGAGACCAGGCTGGCCCGGAACCTGCTGGGATCCCCGTGCCTCTGCCTCCCAAGTACGAGGATTTGGGGCATACACCCCAGTACCCAGCTTAGGTGTTGTTTTTTTGTTTCGTTTTGTTTTCTATAGAACTGATTAGCAGGCAGACCACAAGGGCAGAAAATGCAGGTGGATGACCTAGGTGGAGAAGCATCGGTGGGCCTGGGAAGGGGGTAGGAAGTGTGACAGCAGCCAAGCAGGTGATGAAGTGACGTCCACGGGCTGGAAAGGGGAAGGGCCTGGAAGACAGCAAGTCCCTTTCCTGGATTCTCTCCCACTGACTCCTGCTTTGGGCTCTTCTTCTGCATAAGTCACCTTAAACCGAGTGTTTCACCAAGCAGTGCAGGCTGGATGTGGATGGGCAGAGCTCAGCGCTGTGTTTCTGGCCCCACACATCTGCGACTGGCCTTATTTAAGAGGAACACAACACTGAAGCACTAAATCCTTCCCATGAGGCCTGCTGTTGGGACAGGCTCCTGGCCACCCCATAAAAAACATAGTTGGCTTTTTCAGACCTGAGTACAGGATCTTCACTGGAGCCCTTTTGGCTGACTTCTGTGAGGCGTGATTCTGGTTCCTGGAGTGAAATGAGGTCACTATGCTTCCCAGATCTGGGTCATGAGCAAATGGGAGAAACATGTCACCCACGCCTTTATTCAGGTTATTGGTAAAAACGTTAGAACAGGAACAGGGTAATGCCAGTGGCGGAGCTGCTCCTGACTCGTGCTCTCTGGAATCCACTCTCCACATGAGGGGACGCCAAGCCATCTACCTCTTTGGGTACACAGCTGGTCTTCTGGCAATCTCCCCCAGAAGCTGTGGCCACTGCTGGCCAGGCCATTCTGCCTGTGAAGATATCTGGGTGCAGTGACACATGCCTGTGATCCAAGCACTCCACTGGGAGAGGCAGGAGGATGGTAAGTTTGAGACTTATCTAGGTTACACAGCAAGACCCTGTCTTAGACAAAACAATGGAAAGATAGAGGTATCAACCATCCAAAACTCCCAGCTGAAAGTCAATAGCACCCCTCTGGTGAGATGCTCTGATAACCTTACCTATTCATGAAAGAATATAATACACTTTTCTTTGTGGTTTCTTATTCACCTCCAACCAGATGAAGATTGCTTTCTGGTATTTTATAGCTTTGAGACATTTCCCATCTCAGCACAATATCATTTTCCCTTAAGCCACGTCTTCAAAAGGACATAAACATGCTCAGGGCTTAGTTTCAGGCCTTTCTCTGACTCTAGTATATCACATTTCCTACTCTCCAAGGCTATTGAAATGAAGAATGTCACCGAGGTAATGTAACTCTAGTTGAAAAGTAACTTGGGAGGATGGAGAGATGGCTCTGTGGTTAAAAGCACTGGCTGCTCTTTCAGAGGGCCTGGGTTAAGTTCCCAGCACCCACATGGTGGCTCACAACCACCTACAACTATAGTTCCATGAGATGCAATGCCCTCTTCTGGTATGCAGACATACATGCAGACAAAACACCTATATACATTAAATAAATATAAATAAATCTTCAAAATGCAAAACATCACAATTTTTTAAAGGAGAAAAGTAACTCATTGGAATAAACAGAGGAACCCTAAAAATC